TCTTCAACGAAACAAAGTGCCGTGGCACAGTTTAAATCCGAACTGCACTTAAGTAAGAATCGGCTGCCCCAAACTTAGGCGGCCGGAAACCCGAGATAGTGTTTTTGCGAACAGCCTACAGACAGACGGGCTAGTAAATGTATGATGGGTGGATGATTAGATGCTCTACCAATGGGAAAAACAACTAGGGACCGAAATGGAGGGAGACTGATACGTGGGCAGCGGCTAGTCACAGTGTGGCCGTATGTAAGGACCAGACTGGGAAGTGAGCAAGTAAGCGAGGCATTATATGTGCAGGATAGTAGCACGACATGCGTTGCAATGGCAACATTCGCGGAGCGGGCCCCAAACTTTTGCAACATTCTAAAACTGCCAAAATATCCACAAAATGAGTCGGTAGCGCTCTGTACGGTCACTCTGTTCATAATTTTAGTGCCAATAGAGGTGAATATGCGAGTTCCAGGAAGGATTCCCGATGGAATCTGAAAAGTCAGGACAATAAAACTCTCGTTCCAGTGATCGCTTCTTCATGATGTGAGTGGCGGTTTCATAGCTGACAACTCGGCTATAGCGTTAGCACTTCGCGCACCCTCTCAGCTTCGAAACCGAACACGGCAGCTCGTCATTTCCATTTGTACGGGAGTCTCCTCTCTCTTTTATTTATCTACTGTCGTGTAATCCGCCTTCGGAAGAAGTCACCGACGCCGTGTAAAGGTTGAGCAAAAACAAAGCATATGGAGAGGACGGTATACTGGTTGAAAGCTACAGGTTTTGTGTTGACACTCTGGCGCCCCGCCTCTATGAAGTGACTGAAAAAGTGTGGAGACAAGGTCGCTCCTGATGACTGGAGTTCAGGCACCCTTGTACCTGTCCACAAGAATGGATATCAGACAAGACGCAAGAACTACCACGGCGTAAGTAGTAGCGACTTTTCTCGGGCGATTCGAGGCTGTGTTACTCAAGGACAAAGCGCAGCTAAGCCAAATTATGTGCGGGGAGTGGATTTGCGAAACAGATTTTCACAATGAGGCGCATTCTTGAATTCCGCCATAGATAACAACAACTGACGGTCGTCTGCCTTGTTGACGTCGCCGCCGCGCTCGATTCCGTTCATCAAGAATGCTTATGACGAATAATGACACTAGATTGGATATCATTAAAAATCATCGCCATTATCTACGCCTATTGCCGCTCCACTACTGTCTGGGTCCTAGTCATAACAATCTTTCACAACCGTTTGGCATTTGGTCTGGCATTCGATAGCGTTATATTTTGCCGCCCATTTTGTCTAACTATACTATTTACTGAATTTTCAGGAAGGCCCCGTATGAAGAGGGCGTTGCTGCGGTTGCACCCGGACGCCGGCTGACTGATTTCGATTATGCCGGTGACATTGCTTTACTAGTTTCAATCTTTGGTGATCTGCAGTCTATGGTGTGACGAGTGAGTGAGGTCGCTAAATCGATCGGCTTGTCTATAAACGCTAGGAAGGCGAAAGTGTTTTCAGACTGAAGAGGTAAACAGTTTCGAATGGCTCGGGGCGAGATTGCCGCTGAATGGACAGAGAAAGAATTATATTGTTTTAGAATTTGGTGCTGCTCGTCAAGATTTTGAGCCTTAGAAAGCGCCTATGGGCACGACGCCACAAATATTAGCG